TAAATTTATTCAATATAAACTTTGATATTCAAGTTTAAATTAAATTAAAACGATAATTATAAATATAGAATTATTTATTTCAAGCTAATCACAAAATCGAAATTTAGAAATAACTTAAAATATAAAGCAGACAACATTTTCACTTTTTAGAATTATGACAATAAACCTATTCATACTTCTACCTACAATATATGTATGTATTATTTAGTCCAAAATGAAATAAACACAATTTCCCATCGATTTAATTATTTTAACATTTAGCCAGATTCCTAAGGAATGAGCAGAGTATGGTATATTCTGATATTCAATTATGTAGTCCCCTTTAAATTAAGTGACATTCCATATCTTATCAATCACTGAAAATCAAATTAGTTATTCATCAAGATATGATATCATTCTGTATAATGGCCATTCTCATAGTGTATCGACCGTCGTGTATTTCTAACCAACTGAGATAGAATCTATGACCTGTCCTTTATTAAACTGTAAGTGCAGAAGGCACTATCGTCACACAATTTTAAAGCGTATATTTGTATAGTTAAGCCTTAAAATGGAAAATGATTTTTCCTGCTAACCTCATACGGTTATGGACAACAATTTTTTTTGTTTTATACTGGTATCAAAGACTTTACTTAAAACTGAGTTTACAAGGATTCAAACTTGTGCTCTCAGGAAAGTCCACAAAAAACAGTCGACTTATTTTAAAGTGTAAACTCTTTTGCGTGAGTATACTGAAGCCATTCGGATTGCATTCTTTTCAAAAATATTACCAGTGACATAAATTAAACTTCATTTGTTTAAAAAACAATGAACCTCTATGGTTAACTATTTTGTGATACTAATAGAATTTTAATATTATGCATATAGCTCAACAGATGTACATAACAAAATAGCTCTAATATTAAGTTTTTCGTATGAAGACTCATCCGATCCTTTCATGAACATAGAATCTCATTAAACATTATTTTTCATTTACTTGTTTTATAACATACTATTGTTTAGGAAATCATGAAATAATATATAATACTTAAGTTATCTGTTTTTAGTCTTCTCTTTTAAAGAAGCTCAAAAAGCTTTACAAAGTTACTAGAATGGCTAAATATTAATATTTGCTCTAAATTTATTCTATAAATACATATCACAAAAACATCTGTACACAGAAATTTTCAACTGGCTACAAAAAAATATATATATTCTATTTGATAACTATTTTAATATCATTTCTATTTGTATTCAGTTCGTAATGTATTGTGTTAACATGTTATAGATAACGATATAATATATTCACTACAATAAAATTATTATTGCCTATCAATAAACACATAAAACATTTTACTTACCTCACAATATGCTATAACTGGATAGCGTTGGCTTTTATGAATTATAGTTAAAGATACGTAAAGAAATGAAAGAAGAAAATACAATATAAAGGTGAGCTGAGTGACAACGTTCTCAGAGTTAACATTGTTACATTGTTGAGAGATACGGCGCTCGCGATTGAAAGAAAAACAAACCATTTTTAAAGAGAAATCCTTAAAAAATATCAGAGTAAACGCTTTGCTTGACTTGAATTTGTATTAAATAATTATATTTTGCTTGAATAACAATATTTAAATAACAAAGTTTTGATTATAACGTCCTCTCTGAAAGGGGTTTCCAAATTTATTTAAAAACATTTTCTCTTCGTTCGTAAGCATAAAGAAAGTTGTTGAACTATGAAAAATACTAGGAGTAAAGTGAGATATTGTGTTGGTGATTTTTTTGTGATGTTTAAGACATAAACGGTCTATTTTCATTTACGTCATTAAAAATAATAAATTGAATTTTCAATATATGCAATAAAACGCTACCGCAGTAGCCGTCATAAAATGTTATATCAACCATTATTGCTGCACATTTCATTGAAAATAATGGATCCTTTTTCCCTTATAATGGCATATGTGGGATCAATTTAAAAAAGGGATATTTCAATGTGACAAATATATTTATTCGATTCTCGAGGGAACTTACAGAACTCGACGCAAAAACCTCTCCATATTAATGACTTAAATCTATCCAGTATCCCACGGGAAGATGGTCGGTTGCAAAGCAAAAATTTGTAGGACTGTATATTTTCCTAATTCCATATGTGGCAGCCAGCCAATGTCGTTCCTAAAATGTCATGTTATTTCAGTCGCAGCGAGTTGGTTAAAAATACAACCACTTTAATATAATAATTAACACATTTTACTTAAAATTATGAAGCTGTTCGCCATAAAATATTATCATAGTAAAAAATATTGTCATGTGACCTTATAAAAACATGTTAGACAATTCTGACGAAGCAAGAAAAACGTGATATCTCTAATACATTTTTATTCCAGGCAGAGGTCATAGGTAATATGCTACCGACGTACAATAAAAACTATATTAAATGTATAAAAATACGAAAGATGTTCTTCTTAACGATTTGATTATAACCATGTGCCTATATAATCCTCCATTAGTAATTAGTAATGTTTATTTCAATATAAATATTTAGATTTTCTTTGTTTTTCACATAATGACGTTAATTATTTCGTGTGCCTTTGTGAAGTTTTGTAAATAGGATGCTGTACCCGCAGACCCTACGCGATTTCCCCCGAGGACTTGAACGTACCGCATTCTTAAGACGCAAATACAATTGCTTTGAAATATCCTTAATAATATATCACACGACATAAACAAAAGATTACAAAATAAGGTACATTTTATACGTTAAGCGGCTTAAGTCGTTATATTCATTTAACATACACCTAGATACATATAATAAGCAATTTATAAATAAAACGTATTCAGTGATGGATCTCTAGGGAGTTCTAGGAAGTTTCGTTCCATTTGTATACGTAAAGTTTATACGATATATTCTCAAGCACATCATAATTGAATATAAATTCCTTGTTAACAATCTAAATATAAAACTAAATATTAATATAAGAATTCAGATAATGTTATAAGTGATAAAATGATTTGAGGAGAGAGACAAAAAAATTAGGCGAGTGCAAATATATGACGTAATAAATATTACATTGGATTATATAAGAGTGAGTAGGAAACAAAGAAAAACCTCCGAAGAAATCAAACTATAGCAGTATTTTATACACAAAAAGTACAAGATAGCCTTACATTAATGTTGAAAAGCATTTTTTACATAAAAAGAGCTATGACTTAGCCATTGTGTATTTTACAAACTAAACAAAATATGTCGTTAGTTAGAATATGCTTTCAAATGTATAAAGCAACCTTTATATGAAATGAATTAAAAATAAACAAAATGCTTTCTCAAAAATATTATACAAAGCAACAGAAATGTGAATAAATGGGGCTTTTAGTTTTGTGGCAAATGACAGAAAGCATATCAGTGAGTAAAAGTTACTCTGTTTTAAAGAAAACAAAGAAAAGTGTGTTTTATATATAAGCTGTGTATTATTCCGCGGAGAAAGGGAAGAAGGTATTAGGTAGCCGTTACAACGGGTCTTTGTTTGCAAAGGCTGCAGTATACATACTCGTAGGACCAGCTACAATATGTAGCTACGTTTTAGAATTATATATTCAAAACTTTGCTGTTTCTAATATACTATTACTAATTACATTGTCAATGTATATTAAGAATAGAAAATAATATCTTAACAATTTTTTATTTGCATACAAATATTTATGTATCGATTATTGAAACAGTCAGAGATTTTAGAGACAGCTAGTCTGTGGTAATTGAATGTCTGTCTGTCTGTCTTTACTTTCCAAGATATTAATATGTGTTCAATCGCAATCGATCGAAACATTTTATATAGTATCAGCCATTTAAATTCTTAATTGGCTGATATACGAGTGGCTTATTTTTGTTTCTCAGTGCTTTTAAATAAAGTGACGACGTAATTAAACGCATCCGTGTTAATTAACACTTGATATTGGAGGGTTTTTATTGAGGTTGATCGAACCTTAATTTAGATTGCCTCATTTTAATTTTGATTACTTATGTTTAACAAATGATTTATAAATTCTAATAGGGCCTGTAATGTATTGTTTTGGTGACAATTTTTTTTGGATCACGAGTGGATTTATCTGGTAAAATATAGTTGATTAAATACTAAGAATAATGCTGTAATCGTAAATAGTATTAATTTACGTCTTTAAAGTTTAGTTACGAGCGTTGGGACTGCTGTTTTTTATTACACCTTTATTACACCATAAATTAAGAACTAACGAAACTGCGAAAATTTTATTAATTTTATAATCAATAGTTACTGATGTTTATATAAATAATTCTCTGCACTAAGCTATGAGAGAAGAATTCAAATAAAAACTGGCCATTAAATCAGTCAAACTGTTTTGTGGATCAATTCTAACATTCGTATACACTAAAAACAACCCGTCACCCTACATGTATGTGACGTCTCTGTTTCGTCACGAGTAATAAATGTTTTTTATACTCTTCATCTTTTTGTCTTTATTTTTATGACCATTAATGAGTCTGTATTTATTTTGCTACTATGTAATATAAAGATTTGTTATTTTAGAGATATTTATATGTAGATGTGTAATGTGAAATTTCCATATAAGCTTATAAGAATTTTGGAACCTTAAATAATTATTATTTTTTGGTGTTTTGCTATATGGAAACAAGTTAATTCTTAATAATATACAAACTGAATCCCTCATCAAGACGTGACTTTAACATGTTTTCTTATAATATAATTTGATAATATATCTATTTCTTTTTTTTTGACGTTTTCTTGAATGTAAATAATATTCCAATAAAAGAATATAAATAATAATTATTAGAACTACGAACACCATTAACATTATTTGAACTTGCATTTTTATCACACTTCAAATATTGAAACGTATCGATGTTCAGAGATGTGTATTTTTAGGCTTTTATTGCTCAGGAACGATAAGGACGATCGAACCACAGAGCGCTCTAAGAAATTCTAAATCCTTTTTAACCTCATCACTACGTTAGAAGGAGCAGTGTGGCGGGTTTGTTCACCCCTCAGTCGGGAGATGTCGGGGGGGTTCGGACGGGATCGGGAGGCTGCGTCGCAGAGCGCGCGCGCGTGCCCGGCCGCTTCGTCATTGCGACGGAGGCTGTCGTCTGTCGACGCTGGGCCGTATGACCGCTAGTCTTTACCGGGACCGGGCGAGTTTGAACCGCGAACCGCTGTGAACACGCCCTCGAAGCCCGGGAACAGTGTCACCCCTAAATATATATATAGCAGACACAGTGCATGTGCTTCTAGTCTTGTCGTGTGAAACGCTTACCTGGACCGGCGATTGTGGCTCAATGTAAGGAAGCCGCGACCGTGAATTCATGTGTAAGTTGATGAGTTGCATGTGTCCATTTTTCCGCATGGAAATAGACGCCGGTAACGATTTTCAGCGAGTCTTAAGAGTGGAGATAAATAAAATATAAGAATTACAAACATGGTGGTCCCGGAAATGTTGTATTGTAACCTCTAATCAGAAGGCATAGAGTCGCGCACGTGCGCTGTTGTCCTTTCACGAAAATATAAGTATAAGATTGCCTATTTCATAGTATTCTTTTTTTTCCATATCTTTGAAATGTTTGTCCTCCTGCTGTTTAAAAATAATCAATGTACGTCGTCAAAGTAACAGGTGTTAATTATTTCAGCAAGCTAACATTCTGAATGAATAATGTTTTCAAAATCAATAATATTTACTTTCTGGCAATTTATTGGCGTGGAATTGTAACATGTTTTTGTATTAGAAATATTTGGCACAAAATATTGTTACTGTTGTCCAACAAAATTCAAATACAGATGGAAAATATTAAAGCGTAGAAATGATTTATACAAGAACTGCGGATTTTTTATGGTCTCATTAAGCATTTTTACATTGTATATGTATATGAAAAATCACTATGTTTAAAAATATTAGGTTCTTTAATATATTCTCTTCATGTGTCGTTTTATTTGTCGAATTTAATAAAGTATAATATGTGTCAATATTTCTTTATATATTCGACACACTTTGTATCGATATTTTGTTTGATACTTAGTTAAATTAAAGTAGTTCATAAAGTTATAAATTATGAATATATTTTTTCAATACAGACTTTGTTTTCAGTATATTTAATTTTTTTACGGCATTCTCCATTGCCAATTTTTTTTCGCATTGCAGTAAGCCTAGATCATTTCCATACTTTGCGTTTCAATAATATGCACTACAACTACATATGTTTCAGCTTCAAAATAATTGAGTGAATCTTTGATATATTGTATAAAAATTTATTCCACAATATTTAAAATATGAAATAATTTTGAAAGTACACACTAACGAGGGGAAATTCATGTACTGAAAATGTGCTACATTAATAAGTATAATTGACATTATAATAATAAATTAAAAACTACATATGAAGGTTATCGAAATTTTGAATTTTTTTTTGTATGACTCCAATTTAAATAACTTGTTTCTCAATATTAATTGATGTTTTTTTATTGTCTCTAAATAAAGATTATAATTTGGACTTTCTCAATCTCATACATCTCCAGGAAAGTTTTAATTTGACGTAACTTGACGGGACATTAAGAAAAAATGCAATTAAGGTCAATGCCTTTTATGATATAGGAGGACATGCTTGAAATTTATTTGATTGTTCTCTCAGGCATTCCTTTATATTTTAAAATTAAATATATTTCTTTGAATCTGCTTCTATTATGTTCCTTAATTGAGTTGAGTTTTTTACTTTGAGTTTTTCTCTATTCAGTTATAATCGATTTATACAGTAATAGTTTACACTAAGCCTTTATTTTATTATACAATATACTTTAGCCTGTACTCGTTAAACCATTAAAATCTGCATATGTGTAGATTAGATAGACACTCAATAAAATCTATGAACTGTAATATTTATATTGGTGAAATTGTTAGCTGTCGTTAGTTCTGACATTCACATTGAACCATGTACTAAAAGATATTTAATTAAATATACAACGTTATATGTAAGAACGAATTTAATAACCAACTTTGAGTGTTACATTGCAAATGAAATTAATTCACTCATTTTTTGTACAATGCTAATAACTAAAGTATAAATTATTATCTTTATTTTTTCAGGTGCAATTGTTACGAGTACCTATAAAATAATAACTGGTCACGTGCAAAATATAAATTTTTAAGTTATAAGTAAAAACGGTTTATGACGGTAGTATTAAACTCAACGGACGCCATTTAAAGATTATGTTACAGTAACCTTATTTACAATGGAGTGAAAAAGTTGATGGATGGAAGGAAAAACTTGGCAATTGCGCATTAAACAGTTTTCATACTTGAGTGGTTAAGATCTTTTCCTTGCTTGTAATCATAATAGCTTAGCTTTAGTGGAAGAGATATCTGTGTAATATATTTTTTCTTACCATGGGGGCGGCCTTATCAATAACATTTGATATTCTTTTATACATATATCGCAATAGCAAGCGTCTTATTTTTCTTTCATTAATATTTGTGTTTTTACCTCTTTTATTTTTTTATCTCTTCAACGCTTTTAGTTTAAAAAAAAATAATAAAAAGTTTTTATAATACTTTTGTATTCAGCCCAAAAATATTATGGTTATATTACGTATTTGTGTATACAGACTAATATTATAATTCTATTACCAAAATAAATATAATAGATAGAACTAAAAGTTGCTCATGTTGCTCCGCTTCTCTTGGTAATTATTATTTTTTTAACATAACAAAATGTCGAACAACTCCTATTAACCTTGTGCTTATGTATAAGTTGTAATAGAAATGTGGCAATGAAATCGAAATAATTAATTACGAAAACTCATTCTATTTTGGCTGTATTACTAGTGTTATTAATATAATCAAAATTATAATGTCACTGAGAATGAAAAAGTATTGCATGTTCATTAATATGTACTGCTTTATAACATTTTCTTCATGAAAAAGACAAATCATGGATAAACCTTCCAAGGCATGGAAAAATACAATTTTATTTTTCCTCAGAACTAAATGAATAACGAAATAGTATAGAAATCCAGAAGACCAGACTCAAAACGAATATTTCTTATGATTTATGAATGAAAAGCTTTAAAACTGGTAGGGTTAAGTTTACGATGCAAATTCGTACTCAGATAGAGTTCAGCCAGCATGCACTTGTACTATTAAATAAAAATCTCTTATAACTTTTTGCTCTCAACACATATATTTTTTATATATATATGTTATTTTTATGCAACGTATTATTCTTTTAGTTTTCACAACCGCATTTAACGTTATCATAATGTGTGTCATCAAAGAGAGCATTCCCATGACTAAGTGTTATTCAAATGGAGTCAAGTGTAGCGCAGCAGAAATTGCTTACCTGTTCCATGTATGCTTTAATTTAGCCCGACTCAAGGAAATTGCTTTAAGGATAATATTTAAAATTATAAGTTAAACTGATAACAGAGTTAACGTGCGCATATTAAATATGTTTTGACTTATAAATTTACATAAATTTACCTATGGTAGGTACGTAGCTGAACTAGTTTTGAATGTTTATGAGGAATTCACGGATATGTATTAATGAAGTAGTATTCTCATTACGCAGGTATTAATTTATGCAAATAGTAATAGAGATCTAAATGTTTGCAACGTTAGGGAATTTATAAATTTCCTAAACAGATAACTGTAGCGTGAATCGAATACAACTGGAATAAACGATATATGCATAAAGTAGACTCAGCTATAGGTTTAGGGATGTATAAAAGCTTTTAGAGGCTCCAGTGTTCACCGGTCTGCCATAAGCTTGTTGCATAAATGGAATATCTGTACACATGTATAAGAAACGACTCAGTCACCTTTCAACGTTTTTGATTTTGTTTCTTTCTTTCGCTCGATACAACGTCGAGTGGAATAAGACATATGATCTAACTAAAGTATCTAAATATAGTGATAATATAAAACACTATAAACTGACTTGAGAATTTTATACAAATTAATAAAGTGAAACGAATTGCATTAAATATAATGAAATGGTAACTTATATTTAAAGGAGGTGCCTTTTTGTTAGACGGAAAAAGTGCTTTGTAACGTTACAGAATAAGTTATACAATTATTTCTTTTCATTACCAGCAGATCCTTTGATCTAAAAACCTTTTGTAGAATATTAAAACACCATCTTTATACTTAACCTTACTTTAAAAATATTGCTTAACACTTATTGGAATACCAATTTTCTTTCTCTATTATGAAATATAATTAAGAATGTTATGTATTGAAAATTAATTAGAGAAAATATGAAGCAAAAGTTCACTGTGTTTAACAGTTTTTAAAGCATGGAAATGTCAGGCTAGCTATTCATAGCTATTCATAAGGTACATACATTTTACAACGAACGTCTCTCCCTTAAATGTTGATACGATTTAAAAGCCAGCGCAACCGGACGTAGTCAGTGAATCATAAAAACAAATTGATTTTTAACTGTTATATTTAACGCAATTTTTTGGAGCATGAAATCATTTAACGACTGATCAAATAATAACCTAACTTTTTTATTATCTAGCCATACTTCGTGAATAATTAATTTAATAACGCACTAGATAATACTACATTTTTTTATTTCTCTTATTATCGCGTTGTCCAATTCTTTCAGTGGTGTTAGAGATTTACAGTGTATAAAAAAATTGATATAAAGACAGATACAAACAATTTAATGACAAATATTTAGATATTATTTTATACACAGTGTATGTGGTCTTTTAGGTTTAATATTTGTAACACTTTTAAAAACTGCTTTTGTATGAAAGATTTGATTCTCTTATAAAATTAGTATTTAAAAAGTCTTCTTACAAACCATGTTTTTTGTGATATTTTATAGAACATGGAAGCAAATAGTTCGTAAAAAATACGTCCCTGGGCTATAAATGCTAAGGGTGATAGCGGTAGGCATTAGGACGCCAGTAATAAAATGCAAAGAAATATTGGAGATACGTAGTACTGTCCGGCTTTTAAAAAGCTTAAATTCTAATTTTGTTGAATTTTTCTCGTAGCTTTGTATTGTATATAACTATAATTGCTATTGAAGAGTCATATAAAAGTATAAGACGATTTTCTTAAGCTTTTCAAATCTTTGTATTTTCGAGAAACAGGAGTGAATAAAATAAAAAATCGATCATTTACCATAGTCTGCGTAAATGATGAATTCACTTGACAATTCACAACGAAACAGCGAGTCGGATCAGGCTTTGAGATGTCTCGTTTGAAGAGGCTTCCCTGCATTTGGACATTAACATCTGGTGTAAAATCTGCACTGTAGTTTTACTACAACCATTTCCGTCATAAATGTTTCAGCATTAAAAATAGGCTTTATATTATATTGTACCACTTATTTTAGCGTTTCGTTTATGACTTCTGAATTCATTTAAACTATGAATTCATATTGTCTCTATGTTCATAATATAGTACGACTCCGATACCGATTCTATGAAATTGTGGCAAAAATTTATGATTAGTGATTATAAAACGAAGCTAAATATTATGCATGTTTGAGTATGAGTATGTATGAGTATGATTTATACAAATTGAGTTTAAAAAGACAAAAACGAAATCTTTTGACAATACTTGCAACTCGCTTTTTTTAATGTACTGCAGAAAAAAAATTCGACGAAGTTAGCTATAGCTTAAACTGGAATAGAATCTACCCACAAACTAAGAGTAGTATCTAAAGTTTCACAAGTTAGGAACTGGAAGATGATAAATCTTACAAAACATACACAAATTAAATATAATTATACCATTTGAATATTATTGAAGAATAATAATTACGAGAATACGACCGTTGTATTACAATTTAAAAACTAAATTATAATCCGGTACAAATAATATGGCATACTCCACTCATTTTTTGTACCTAAATATTAAATTGTAATACATAGACAGTGTTATCTACTATATAATATTTTCATGACATTACATTAAACATTAAACATAATACTTCAGAAAATGCCTAAGGTTTTGTTAATGCTAATTATTAATAATCAGTGTATAATATATTTTGTTAGTAAGATAAGAAGCACAGAGTATATTTATTTTGTTCTTTAATTTTGGCTTTCTTTGTCCCTTTTGTACCTTCAAACTTACAAATCCATCCATCAATTTAACAGCTCCGTCTTTTCTGTAATTATTCATCTTAATAGTTTATCAGTGTTTATCAATATAAAAACTAAAGAAAAAAAAATAAAAACGATAGATATATACATATGGATATCCTAGAAAAATTACATGTGTCAGTATCTTTTGTGACGTTTTCCAGACGTAAAACTAAATGGAATAATAATTAGTTAGATAAATAATAATAATTAATTAGTTTATAGTCTTTATACAAATTTTCACAACTAACAAACACATCATTTTAAAACTCACAGGTATAGTTTTATCCAAAATGATTACCAATTGGTCTATACTATTTATTCTCTGGTTTGGCTAACAGTAAGTTTAGAAGAGATACATGTCATAATATGTTTTATGTTATTCAGGACTAACATCTGAGTTTCTTTTTACGCGACACATTTTAACTCTGTCCACGGATCTGAATTACTCAAATATTTTAACGTACAGGCCTTTGTGGTAAAATATTTACCTCGTTAACATTTTATATTATGTTATAAGGACATTACATTTCGACGAATGTACATTGAATTTGGTTTTGTACTCGTCCATTCCGCGAGTTGTTCCTGTTGTGAATACTTTGTTGTTTCATTTGAATTATAATAATGATATTTTTTGGGTACGACAAAATAAACATAAATACGACAGTGAATACATATATTTTAGAAATAGCTTTAACATTTATTGAGCTTGCTTGCAGCTAAACATTTAATATACAAATTTTGAGATTTCAGTAGACCTGAAATAGGCTACTGTAAAATTTATCTGTTTATTAAAGAGGGTATAAGTAGTGCTCAACATTTCATCAAAATATTTAAGCGGAATTCAGATGATGATAATAATATAAACAGAAAATATATTTTCGATACCAAAATACAAGTAATTTTACTGTATTTGAACGGAATCGTTTACATTCACATTTATGTTATAAAGTACTATTAACGTGTAATTTTAAATAGGTCATAGCTACAAAACTATAGTTTTAAATTGTACATAGATAATTACAATATTTTATACGAAATTAGAATTTTATCTAATAAATTATAAATAGCCCAGAAAATGTCGCGGACAGCCACATTGTAATTATGAATAAGTATTGATCCAGGGCGACCCGCTCTCGTTTCAGAGATTGGTTTTATATCGTTGAGAGTAGATGCTATTCTTAAACGACAAATAATACACGCTCAAAAATAGACTATAACATTTTGAATACCGTTTTCATGCTCTTCTTTAACAAAGATTGAATAAATAATACAAACTGAATTTAAAGAGGAAATTAATTGATTTAAAACTAGCTTATAGAAACCGCAATAGTGATATTTAATGATATAAAAAACCCGTAATTAGTTCCATAATCAACATTAATTAACAACAGTGTTTTAAATTTATTTATCCGCGTGTGTAACGAATATATTGAAATTATACGGAATGTCTATTCGATGATAATAGTTTTATTTTTCAATAAAATGACTTGTAGAAGAATGTCAAAAGCAGCGTCTACCACTGTTTATGCTGACCATTTGCTTAACATAATAAATTATATATTTTATTTTAAAAATACGCCACACATTGATAGAATAGTGCCACTATTACAGTTACTAATTAGTAGTTCGGTTTATAGGACGATCGTAACAAATACAAAGATATTACGTCATTTTAAACAATAAAAGTATGTTGTTATATTTAAACTATTAATCGTGTAAATTTTTCAAATAAATCAATAGGTTCAAAGCTCTCTACGTCAGTGGACATCAAGTTTGTTTTACTAAGAAACTTTTCGAAATCCCTTAACTAAATTAGAATTTTAAAGTTTACTAAAGGGTTTAATTGGATTATTGTATCAAGGTTTCCATATCAATTAAAGTTTGACTTCCAGTCGGAGAATTCTATTTGAGTCTTTATGAATCCTGAGAGACGTCTTAACAGAGAATCTATTAATTATCTATGTATTAATTGATCCTGTGTTCTTTAGAATATTTTATATGAATCTATGTATAAATTGATAGGATGGCTCTTGTTCTGAGCGGATTTTTTTATTTTCTTGATATTTTTAATAGTTCTCTTTATGAATGTTTAATATGCAGGCGCAGGGAGGTGAGTGCAGGGGCGCACGGGCGAAATGGCCACAACAACCAGCTGATAGCATGCGGGCGGCGGCGCTCCGGCCCGCCCCAACCTAGCCGATCACACAACGAGCGCGACTTACACGGGTATGACTAGAAACTTAGGTTGTACCGCTGCTTTGTATACTGGACACGGAATAGAGAATACAATTCAAATATAACATTAGTTACATGAACATGTCAAAAAGAATAAGTATCATTTTATGTTAGTGTTTATTGTTTAATTTAATATCAAAACTAAACAATCTAAAAGATCGATTTCCTTAAATGATTCTCATTCTCTGGACGAAGTTTAAAGGACTTTATAAATTGTCCATTCATTTTAATGTAATTATCAAAAACATATTGTTAGAATGCAAATATATTTAATACTTTCTTACTTTAAAAGTTTGTCAGATCTCCTTTTTTATTACACAACATTTAGCCTGAGCTTCAATGTAAAGCACAGTTGGAACACATTAGATTATACACACATTAATATACGGACCGTCGTGTCTCTGCCATTGGTATAAACGAGCTAAAACAATAGGATCTCTCTCTTGAAGAGATAATTCAGCTTCATTTGACTTAAGCATACCGTTTAACTTTAAATAACAAACTCAATCCTGGCTGTCTTAAAGTTCTCGACTTTGAAACGATCGAGAGATATCATAATAATATAATATCATTTATTAATTTGCATTATGAATTGTTTTAAGGATTTTTATGCCCTAAAGGCTTAGCGTCTCTGTTTATACTTATGAAAAGATAAAAGGTATTCGTAAGTCTTTATTTTTGATTTCGCTTAATATAGATAATATCTGAGTTTGAATTTGTTCTGTGTTATTAGTTTTTATCATAGGATTCGACCTCTGTTTATCAAGATATAGTTGTAGTCGTATACAACTTTTTACATAATGCTTATGCTTAAGGGCTTTTGAATAAAAAAAAACAAATGGCTTCTGAATAAAATGTAATTAAAAACCTTAAAACTGTGTATTTTTATAGAAATCACATAAACTTTTTCCGTATTACCAGTTGTTCTTTAAAAAAAAAATGAGAAATACTTTAATTTTTTTCAAATAAAATTTATATTTAAATTTTGAATATTCGTTTGTTAACGTCATATAAAACATTTATGAAGTCATTGTTCAAGTAAAAATTCTGTTTATAAGTTCAATGTTTTCTTTATTCATACGTTTTTTTTTCTAAGCCTTTGTTAAAAGCTCACAGCTTGTTAGTTCTATAATGAAATGGTCCGACTGCCTAATTAGGCTTGGGACAGGATAGTGAGTCTGCCACTCCAGAAAAGTCTGAAACGTTCCCTTGCGGAAGCACAACTTCAAACCATGAAATAGTAGACAGAATAACCGTTCGTCACAAGGGACCTTATAAAAAAATTGTATAACTGATTCAAAAATGGATATATATATAAATTTTCACTTCACTTGTGTACAAATTTATCTTTTGATTAAAGTTTGTGTTTTACACAATAACACATGATATCTTAAAAGTACTATTCGGACGGTATTAATTCATTTAAAATGTAATTTATCTGCAACCTTAAAAATTGACAAAGCAACGAACTCCCCCACTCTCCACGCATGAATAAGTAAAGGGACAGAAATGCCCCAAAAAGATTTTCAGGTTATTTTGTTAAAAGGGCTAAGGTGTGCGTTCCGAGAAGACAGCCTCTGTTTACAGAGGATGCTGTGTACGCTTACCCTAATTCATAGTAAATCTTCAATTATTTGAACTACATGCTCGCACAGAAATGAACGTTGCCTTAACAGTCATTATGTAAAATTTGTTTCGAGACAGAAATTTAAAAGATACTTATTGTATTTGGTTTTGTCAGATTAATTTAGAAATAAATGTGTTTGATTTGAAGCAAATTAAAAGTTACTAAAACAAGCATGCTCGAACAATCGATTGGAGAGGTGTAAACATTTAAAGGAATTAGATATTAGATTCATATGATTAAAATTAAACAAACAGTTATTTTAATTATATATTTACCTGAAGAAAAAACCTATGTGTATAAGTATTTTATTTTCTATTTCAAAACTTTCTTTGAACTAGATGTTACTATTCAAATAATGTACAAGAATCAACACGGATCGTTAAATTAAAAGAAATTAAATATTTTAAAAGTAGTCTCAGATAAAGTTACTTAAATAAAAATATAAGACAAACCAATTTTAAAATTTTCATTCAATGATTCCAATTTAAAAAAGTGACATTCGACAAATAAAATATATATTTTTGTTAACAATATCAAGCATAAATTCGTCATTCACAAATAAATGGTATATTATAATTATAAATGTTTTCGAACAGCGTTAAATTTTTCAATTTCCCATCCAATCGTAACATTGCTAGAAATGCCGACAGAGTTGATATTATTTTCTTTTAGAATATGAACTTTATTCGTTTCGTATTCAAACTGTAAATATACCAAGTTCCAATATGCGGCTGCCGTAACAGGAAATGTTGGAATATGTAAACATGTGACATGTATCGGCTAAATTGTTGTTTACATAACTATACTTACCAACGCTAGGTTTATTGTTACAATTACGTCAATATTGCTTCTAAATTGTAATAATCAAGATTTTATGTAAAGAAACAAAAGAAAGCCTATTATAAAATATATAGGCAGGGGACCATCAATAGCTCGGTGAGCTTGCAAGTAAGCTTTGTATAAAGTAGTTCCAGTGCTCTGGGGGTCTCAAGCTGAATTTATTATAAGAATTAAGAACCCTTGATAATGTCTGAAATGCATCACTTGGTATACGCAAGCTACGACGGCCGTCGTAAACCACATATGTTTACGATCTCTGTCTTCAAAAGCACCAACATTTAGCTCGTAAAATGGAAATAGGCTCAACGAAATTATGCTCCTAACGTGTAAAATTTTGTTCAGATTTCTACCCCCTTTATATGGCCTATTTTTTCAGTGACGGCTGGACATGACGTTATTTAAATTTTAATAGAAAACATCTGTTTCAGTCATTCCGTTTTAATTTACAAGTACAGTTACTGTACAATGTACGTTGTTATTGTACAATATACTGTTACGATAATGAATGAACTTTATTATTTAAAAACATAAAAACTATACGTATTCTGTTTGAACGAAGTAATGTTTAACTAATGGCACTGTTCGTAGTATTCACAAAAAGTAATATAAAAGTAAAATACATTTAGCTGTCGTTTATTGACCGAATCTGAATTCGAGAGAAACAAAACTTTAGGGGAAACAAAAGTATTTGAGTTCCATCTAACTTAAGTTATCGGTTTCGTTGATAAAAAGTACTTTAAGTGAGAAAGGTCAGATCTCTTGGCGCACATTGATGTTGATTTGTACAAATTTCAATGCGATAAATGTTTTGTTCCCAATTCACTAGATATGTAGGAATTTTATTTATGTTACTATTAATGTATTTCCTAACAAGGTTACAAGCATCTCAATCATTTGTAAGTGAATTCAGAAAAATACATCAAAACTGCCAATGAAGGTTTTCAGTGACGTAAATTGCTACTATTATTTTGGGTCGACACATTATTATTTCGTAACGAGCTGGTTTCCTGCGAACGAACTAGTGGTCGCTTGTGCGGTCGTTGCAGCTCAATTGGGAGCTTTTTGGATGCACTGGCAAACAATTAAGTGTACGTGCCATGTAAACCTCACAGTGTTTGAATGTTAAGTGAAAATTATTGGAACAAATTTATGTTACATACATTTCTCAATTGTATCAGGTTCATTCAGAGATTTAGAATGCTTTCTAAATCCGAGTTTTATTATTCAGACAAGATTCTTGATAAGCAATACTTCAATGAAATAAACACGTTCTAAACTTCTAATATTTATGAAATATTTAAGAAAATAAAAGAAATATTTAAATAATAATCGATAAAAAATGATTCTTAATGTATATACATATGTACATATTACTTTTTATATACTTTTTATAAAAATAAAAATGTTCAGAACGTAGGAAAAATTGATAAAATAATACGAACTTCAAATAAAAAGATTTCCAATAATATAATCGTGAAAAACTTAAAATCATTAAAATAAAATAGTATTTCGTAGAACATAACCTATATTTTCTTATTTTATAATATATTTGCAACGAGACCAAAATATTGATCATAAATTAAGTGTTAAATTTAATATAATAATATTAAATTTATGTATATCCTAGGCGATAGTTATCCTACCCTCAGGATGATAAGCGTGACTTGGAAAAGTAATTGGCTTAAAATGGAATATGGATATGTTTATAAAATAATCCGGGCTGAGGTTAATAGCAGGTGCTCCAAGTGGTTATATCCGCTTAAAGCTGGGGTAATGTAATCACATCTCGCAATCGCGAGCTCTAGATACTACTTATAAGTCAGTGCTATTAAATTATATTAAGTCTAAATTTACTTCATCTGTTCATATATTACCTTCAGCAGTCTAATAAATTTATAGTTGAAATTAATTAAAACGTTATATCAGCTTAAAACGTTACATAGTGTAACCAAAAAGAGGAAATATTAGAAATGTTCTGAACAAAATAATTGATATATAAACGATTCATTCATATACATATATTTTGAGAGGATTTTCTTATATGAAAACAAATATTGTTTTAATCTTATGCTAAATTGCCACCGAAAGGAGACAGGAAATTTGAATTGAAAAAAAGGGAAACGCCAATAATCGTATCCAATATAAGTCGAAGTTAGATCCGGTGGTACGACGTTTTCCACAATTTCGATGAGTTCCATGTATGTGTGTGACGGTGGATAGAAACTTGAACGAGCTTTAATGAGATTCCATGAAAATGACGTAAAACCGCCAGCGAACATTAAACTTCAAACCTTTTTTGCGGTATCGAGTTAGAAATTCTCAAGTTAATAGTTACTTTAAAATTGCTTAAGCAAAATCATAGTTCGTTTAAATTGTATAGTAAAAATAATTTAAGAGACTATTACATTTTAATTATTCGGAGCACGTGTTTTTTTTTAAGTAACAATCATGTTTATTGAGAGATCTCCGTTTATTTTCCGTTTCATTGTACTTC